GGAGCCTGAAGACCGACAATATTTGATTTTTGCCTCTGCCACTACCCGTGAGATTGCAGACAAGTTACAAGTTTCTGGGCCTCAGTATTCTCATCTGTAAGAGGAGGGGTTCTCAGGGATACTCCCTGAAATACAGATTCCTAGGCTCCAAGCCTAAAGAGCCAGTATATGAGGAGATATCATATTCATTTTAATTCCTTTATCCTAAAACTCAAGTTATTTCAATCTTGTCTGAAAGGACATTTCCTCACCCAACCTTTATTCCTTTTCCTTTAGCCTGAGTTGGAAAAACTCTTGACAACCATTCAGGGTGCACAGCTGCTGCCTATAGACAACTCAGAGCCAGAAGTCTGAAGGGTCCCTCAAACCAGTGTTTACAGACCCCTGGTGGTACTTTCGGGAACTTACTGGCCCAAGAAAGGAAGCAGCTGCACACTCAAGCCAGATGGTGCGCTGCACCTCCCAGGCCATGGGTGGGAGCTGCTTTAAGAAACCTGCCTGCCTGCTTACCTGAGCTGCCAGGCTGAACTATTAGCCAGCCTTCTGGTGAGCTAATTTGATACCTTCCTTGGCAAAGTGGTCCCACAGTTTTATGAAAAAAATCTCTGCACGGAAATTAAGGATCCCTCCCTAGATCTTAAATCTCTATTTTTAATGGTAAGTTTGTGGCCAAAACATATGTACCTTTTCCAGCTTATCATTAGGGATGATGTAAGAATACAAATACTTCCATGAGGAAACACCGTATAAATAAAGATGCTAGAAATCTATTGGGTTGTCAGAAAAGTCATGATGTACTTTTTCTGTTTTTTGTTGCAAAAATGCGTCATGACTTTTCTGACAACCCAATAAAAAGCCGCAGCTGATAGGTGTCCTCAAACTACATGCAGTGGCCTCAACAGAGGGTCTGCCCACCCCCAGCACCACCTCAGATGGAGGGTCTGCCCCTCCCCAGCACTGCGCTGTCCCTGAAGACTTGCCTGTCAAGATCTGGGCCCCGCTTTCCCCAGTCACCGAGAGCCCTCAGGGAGCCTGGGTCCTAACTTTTATAGGAACCCATGGCCTGCAGAGCTTTGAAAGGTCAGACAGAAGCACTACTGGGCACCTTTGTTCCAGGAGTGATGCTCAGGACAGGTGACCAAAAGCAACTGCATCAACAACAGTGTTTCTTTTTTTNTATTTTTTATTGTATATGCTATATTGTTTTGGAACTAGATAGTACTTTCTGTTTATTAACCTCTAGCTAAAAGGTCACAGCTTTGCTTTTATTTTGGTTTAAAGTTTTTTTTTATATTATCACTCGCTGGGAAGGGAACAAGACTTAGGTGAAAACCTAGATTTGCACATGGGGTTTCTTAGAGTAAGCTACTAAGTTGCCTGTATTTTTTTATTTTTATTTTTTTAGGTAGCTGAGTGTTTAAGTTATCTTTAGCCCTCTGCAACTATATTCATCCCCAAAGTTGATCACTTGAGTCTTTACATTTGAACCTAGTCCTGAACTCAGAAATAATTTGATTTCCTTTTCTGTAACTAACTTAATACTATAGAATTCCAGCATGTCTTATATATTTTTACGTTTCATAAACACAAAAGGAGGCAAGATATTAAAAACACTGCCTTGAAAGTAAGAAACACTATAAGTCCATAAAACATTCTGTCTTAAATAAAAGAATTTTTCATAAGAAGGAAAGAAATCCTAAACATGGCCACAAGGCAAAATTTGTAAGTACATGTGAATTTGTGGATCTGCTTGTTTAATGTCCTTCACTGGAGGCCAAGGTCCCCTGGGGGCCAGTACAGGGCCTATTTTGCCCATCACTGTGCCTGGCTTACAACAGGTGTGCAGTAAATGTTTTCTGAATGGGTAATAACATACCATATGATATTCATTTCAGTTCAGGAATTAATTCATGTGAATAAGGTTAAGATTTAATGAAAATATACTAAGCTTGTAAGTTTAATTGCTAAATGCTTTTCTAATCATTAGGCTACCTAGAGCATCTAGGAGAATGAAAGACCGAGTCTATGACACCACCAAAAACAGCACTTATTTAAGTTCATCATTTAAATTTGCCTCCACCTTCATCATCATCCTACATTTACTCTGAGAAATTTACCTGACAAGCTGTTCTAAATTTGAAGCAAATTTGAATAAATGAAAAATATGAGAGGCAGAAATCCCAGCAATATAAAT